GATCTAGCACTCTTAGGCGCGCCAAATCTCTTAGTCCTTCGATTACACTGATCTTGTTCTTGGACAAGTTCAACGCGTGGAGGCCCTTCGGAAGCGATGCAGGAGTAATTTGAACTGCAATGAACAGAACATTGTCTAGTAAGCAAAACACACACACACTTCTTGAAACATGTAGTTTGTGTTGTTGTGATTCAAGAATGTACCTATGAAGTTGTTTGATAGATCAATCGACTTGAGGCTTGTGAAATGTGAGATGTTTGGGATAGCTTTCAAGCCTATGCTCGAGATATGAGCGACGCTCGAGGATTTGCTCAGCGATTGGATTAGGCTGTTTGCGTGGACTATCGCCTCTGAGACATTTCCGGACTGAACCACTTGTCCTGAGTGTGATCTCTCGGTCTTCGAATCGGCTATGAAACTGTCCTTATGCTCATCCTCGTTTACTGGAACTACAGTTTCAACATCGAGTCCTTTCACCCACTCGTCCACTCGTTTCATCGAAGAGGATTCCGCAGAGAACGCGACCCACTGATTATGACGAGGCCACGAGGACTGGTTTGGAGACTCGACTTCATGGCTGGATTGGCCCTGTTCAGCAAAGTCAGAGGTGTAACCAGACTGGTGATTCTTGGCTAAAACATCTAAAGGTTGCGACTTTATCGAAACACGGTGTTTGTGAAGGTTCCTATGGCTCCAAAGGAACAGTTTCCACCAGAGCCGTCTACTCCCCGAGGGAAGTATCTGCATCGAAGAATGTTTCTTGAGCATCACTCTATCTGCACTTTTATGTGACCTCACTGATTCGACCTCGAACCTCTCTCTCGGATCACGAAGATCCCGAGGATCAGAACCGTCGAACCGGCCTGCGAACTTGCTTAGAGTGGAGCAAGATCGTTTGAGCATAGGTGAAGTCACCCAAGCCGTGGCTCTACCTAAGCCTGGATCGCTTACATGACCATCTTCCTCCTCATCATCATCGTTTATATCGTTTTCAGAACAATCTGTTACTTCCTTAACCAAGTCCTTGCTTGTCAAAGATTCAACGGCTTCGAATTTTGGAAACTCGCGTTTCGTTGA